CATGGCATGGCATGGGATGCGATGAGATGGCATGCGATGGGATGGGATGGGATATGGGATGGGATGGGATGGGATGCGGTGCGATGGGATGCGGTGCAGTGGCATGGCATGAGATGCGATGAGATGGCATGCGATGAGATGGGATGGGATATGGGATGGGATGGGATGGGATGCGGTGCAGTGGCATGGCATGAGATGCGATGAGATGGCATGCGATGAGATGGGATGGGATATGGGATGGGATGGGATGGGATGCGGTGCAGTGGCATGGCATGAGATGCGATGAGATGGCATGCGATGAGATAGGATGGGATATGGGATGCGGTGCGATGGGATGCGGTGCAATGGCATGGCATGGGATGCGATGAGATGGCATGCGATGGGATGGGATGGGATATGGGATGAGATGGGATGGGATGCGGTGCGATGGGGTGGGATGGCATGGGATGGATGGATGCATGGATAGATAAGATTGTTCGATTTTTTTGGGTATTTTCCTTTCCACGAAGCAGTCATCAACTGAGTAACGCCACTGATTTCCCCGGGCAACGCAGGGTATCCCGCTAGTACACCATATAACAGAAAATATGCTGCATAAAAGGGAAGCGCATCAGTAAAATGATGAACATCGCAGAGTATCGTTCTGAGAACCCACACCTCCCACACTTTCCAACGTTGTTTTAAAGTGAATGTGATAGGTTAACGCCAGTAGCCTCTACACACTCCCTAGAGGGGTCCAGAGGAATATCCCCTCAAAAATGTTTTAATATTGGTGTAAAATGGCACCTCTGCGATTTTTTACAGTTGATTTTATCGAAGACAATATAACAAGTTTAATATTAAATTTAAAGTTTAATACCAAAGCAGTAGGAAGACAAGTAAAATCACTGGTTGGCTAGTAGCTTCTAGAGTCTGTAATGATAACAGGTAGATGTTAGCAGGAGTAGATAATACTACCTATTATCTACTCCTGATGTTAGGAAGCTATTACTGCTGCTGCTGCTGCTGCTACTGCTACTGCTCCTTCTCCTGCTACTGCTACTGCTACTACTGCTACTGTTGCTGCTACTGCTACTGATACTGCTCCTGCTACTGCTACTGCCACTGCTGCTGCTGCTACTACTGCTGCTGCTACTGCTGCTACTACTACTGCTGCTGCTGCTACTACTACTCCTACTAGTGCTGCTGCTGCTACCAGTACTTCTGCTGCTGATTATTATGATGCTACTGCTGCTACTGCTACAATTGGTGCTGTTGTTGTTGTCTCAATTGAACATGTTTTTGGGGAAACACAATTTCACAAGCATGTTTTCCGACTCAGGCCGCGATCGGGCGGTGAGTCATCGTAGTGACTACTTCCATCACAGATGTTTCGCCAATCACAGATCCGCGAACACCGCCGCCACAACTACCACCATCGACGGGCCAGGCAGCAAGGGCGGCTTAGATTTCACCGCACGTACACAAGCGTAGGTACGCATACGTCACGCGCGCGCACGCACGTCATACGCACGCACGACTCATTTCACTCGCCTATGGCCAAACAAGGGGCATGAAGATGGAAAGTATTACAAGTGAGTGGGATAAAACTGGTGTGAATATCCACAAGCGGGTTATACTAGCTTATAGCAGCTGACGAGGGCCAACGAGAATGAGGGGTAAATGGAGGGGGAGGAAGTGGAGGAGGATAGCGACGCGGAGAAGGTGCTAATGGAGGGGATGTGGTGGTGGTGGTGGTGGTGGAAGAGGAGGATGAGGAGGAGGGGAAGTGGTGGTGGTGGTGGTGGCGGTGGCGGTGGAAGAGAAGGATGAGGAGGAGGGGAAGTGGTAGTTGTGGTGGTGGAGGATGAGGATGAGGAGAAGGAGGAGGAGGAGGAGGAGGAGGAGGAGGAGGAGGAAGTGAAGGAGATTGTGGTGATAGTGGTGGCGGTAGAGAGGAGTCTGAGGTAGACGTTAAGGTAGAAGTGAAGGTACTAGAGGTGGAAGAAGAGGAAGCGGAGAAATATGAGTAGAACTTTGGAGATGTAGGAGCTAGGTGAAGGTGGAGGAGGGGGATGAGGAGGAAGTAGATGAAGAAGAAGAAGAGGAGGAGGAGGATGAAGATTTGTAGGCGAAGGAAGATGAACTTTTGCTCACACGGGACTACGTATAATAGTGGTTGGCAGGCCAAACAGGCGCCACGCACGCACGCACGCACGCACGCACGCACACACACACACACACAGAGAGACGCGCGCGCGCGCACGCGCACACACACCACACACACACACGCACGCGCACACACACCACACACACGCACGCACGCACGCACACACACACACACACACACACACACACACACACAGAGAGAAAGACGCGCGCGCGCACGCGCACACACACCAACATCCATTTCCCTCATGACAGGAGCTGCTGAACTGAGCTGCTTTTCCGCTTGCCTGGGAGGAGAAGGTGGAGGCTGCAAGTGCTAGTGCGTCATCAAGGCACGCTCCGTGCAGGCTGCTGCAGCGGCGGCAGCAGCAGCTAGTAGGCTTCTGGCTGTCTCTATCTGTCGCTGTTTCTATGTCTCTGTCGCACTTCCCTACCTCACGTTCACCACCTCTCTCTCACCCTTCTCTCTTCCTCCATTTCTTTTCCCTCATGCTTTACCCCCACTCTATATATATATACTCTCTCTCTCTCTCTCTCTCTCTCTCTCTCTCTCTCTCTCTCTCTCTCTCACACACACTATCTCTCCATCTCGCTCTCGCTCTCTCACTCGTGCTCTCTCTCTCTCGCGCGCGCTCGCTCTCTCTCTCTCTCTCTCTCTCTCTCTCCCTCTCTCTTTCTCCGGCTCCCCTCTTTCCACTGCCTCACAAAGCAGCAAGTTACAAATTGAGAGGAGACAACCAGCCATACATGGCTTCATTTCTGTCTCTACAACGCGTGCGAATATATATTATGTACGTGTATACTAACCGTATAACCGCATATCTCTTAAAGTTGTCTTTCGGCGTGGAGTGACAACCCGGGGAGTGGATTATAGATGCAGCTGTGATAACTACCTTATAAGGAGAGGAGAGAGGGGGGTTAAGGTCCCGAGATGCTAGCCTAGCTATAGCTAGGAGTAACGTGCACGTTACTAGTGAGCGACGTTTAGATGCATTTTAGCCTGCAGTCGGAAAATTTACGTTTGCAGGAGGCCTTTACTGCATAGTAGCAAAAGAGTGAGATTACAAGACAGTGGTATAATTCACACGACATGCCTAACCCATCTCTGATCGCAGTGAGGGCGTGAGAGTAGCGAGGAGGTTTCGAATATGGAATCAAATAGCGTAAACTAGCATTTTTACGTATTGTATGCTAACGTAAAAGATGCTTGTATTCGATACTATATTTTCTGCCTCGTGATGTGTCTGTCACAGTGAAAATACTAGACCACAGCAAATAAATTTTGTCACAAAAATCTCTTTCGTCTGCCAGTTGCAGGACTATGTTTTATAAACTGAGGATCGTATAAATAATCGTGACGATAGCCAAATATACGTATTAATATATTCAATTGCATGTATAAACTTATACTAATTATGTATAATATATATATATATATATATAATATACATGCACATAGTAATTATGAGTGTATTAAAATAACACCCTAGTTTTCTTAAAAATCTCCAGTGGCTTACATCGTAGAACACACACACCAAATATTTGCTCACATCTCTCACTGAATTAGACAAATGTTTAGTATGCAAATAAGAGACGACTAGTAAAGATATAATAATAGCGGGTTTCGTATAAAATGCCACCACGCCTAATATAATGATTACAATCATTCCAGCATATCACAGTCAGGTAAAGACAACACGCTGTGAAGTTGCGTGTGGGTTTGCGGGGTTTGAACTCCCCTTACCGACTCTTAGGTTAGTAATTAATGAAGCAAGCACAGAAATCAGTGAATCCATAATATGCGAGAGCTGCCTGTAACTCTCATATACACATAACAGTAGCAACTAGCTCTACAGGTGAGCTGTGCGGGAAATCTCAGCAATTGCAGATCAATACGGAAACCGCCTCCGGTTGAACTAACGGCTTGCTATACATGCATGTATGATATCAACTGTATGATATTACGAAATCTTACTTATCTACGTGCGCCGCGCAGTCTTCTGGTAAGCACTTTTCACTTTCCTCGTTCATAACCGGTGCGTGTCTCTTTGAGACTCTCTCTCTCCCTCTCTCCCCCCCCTCTCTCTCCCGCTCTCTCCCCCCCTCTCTCTCTCTCTGCTGTATGTCCTAGCTCCTAATGTATTTCTGTCTGTCTCTGACGCGTCGTTAATCTCCGCTACTGCTTCCTCTTTTAATCTATCACCTCTTATCTCTCACAACGCTCTGCGCCGACTACCGCTACTCTCTGGTGCCCGCATGTGCTACATCATCTCACTCTTCGTTTCCTCACTCTGAAATCACCACCCGTTTTTTCTCTCTTCCTCTCCCCCCTATCCTGTACTCGTTGCTCTCCTCCTCTCTCTCTCTCTCTCTCTCTCTCTCTCTCTCTCTATCTCTCCCTCTCGCTCTCTCTCTCTCTCTCTATTTCTTTCTCTCATTCAACTCCCTCACTCTCTCATCCTCACATCCCCCTTCTCTCTCTCTCTTTCTCATTCCCTCGTCTCTCCCTGCCAGCAATAGAACCTACCGTCTTCGATGTTGTCGGCGATCACGAACGTGGGACGGTTGGCCGTAATATCCGTGGTCAGACACCAAGCAACCAGCCAGCGCTGCCCGCTACAGCCAGTACACCCCCCAAAACATATACACACGCGCGCGTCTACATACACATCTAGCCGTGCTACACACACGCGCGCGCGTGCGTCACTAGCATCCGCACAGGCCGACCGTCTGCCGGAGAATGCTCCTCCGCTGCTGGTTCAAATGTGTGTCGTTGTCCTAGGCCCGCTGGTTGCACGACGCATCGTACGTACGCGCACCCCCTAGCTCCGCGCACGGCCCCGCTACCCTGCACGCTCGCGCCCCACGCACCGCTACACGCGCGCCCCCGCGTGCTGCCGCGTAAGTCAGGATAGCGGGTAGGTACACTGCCTCAGAGCGCTACCCGTGCTTGCTGGGCAGGCGAGGGGGAGCAATGGTTACGATGGCGGCAGGGTAGGTGGGTTTGCAACAGGTTCTGACCCGGGTGTCAAAGACCTGCGTTACCAGTCGGTGTAAACTTGCTTTGAATCTGCCGGGGACGGTGAGATGGGGTTCTTTTATACGGGAGGTGGCGATGAGAGGGGGTGGGGGTGACTGCAGGTGCACCCCTGGACACACGACCTTGGTGATGTGTTACACGCGCAAAGAGAACTTACAGCCGCTGAGAGAGAATTTCTGTGACGACACCAAACGATAACTTATAAGAGAACCTATTATATATTATATATTACATTATATATTATATATTACATTATAATTTATATATTATATATTATTATATATTGTCCTGGAAGTAATTACTGAGAAAAAAAATTTGAAGCAAAATAATTATACACACATCCATACAAATACATATACAATTGCACAAATACTGCATATATTGTATATGGCATAGACATTATATTGAGATATTATATCATATCACATCTAATCTATGGACTTACTGACCATATGTTAAAGCACAATTTATACACACATACAAGCACGCATACGTAATAATTTTAATTACCACAATAACGGGTACACGTGCACACAACAGTCAGTTAGAATAACACCTCATAGCTAATCACGTAGATTGATCGCGTTGATTTTATGGGTGGGCATATGTCGATGAAATTAACCTGCACTTCTGTATGTATGTGTGGCCTGCGCACTGGACCCTTACACAGAGAGACGACAAGGCACGCCGTGCGGGAACGTGGGGTGGAGTGATGTAGCGTGGGGGGAGGTGATGTAGCGTGGGGTGGGGTGATGTAGCGTGTGTGTGGTGGGGGGGGTGGAGTGGTAGGCGGTGGGGGAGTGGTAGGCGGGTGGGGGGGTGGAGTGGTAGGCGGTGGGGGTGGTGGAGTGGTAGGCGGTGGGAGTGGGTGAGTG